AAGAGGCAATACTTCCCGTTATTGTTGTTGTTGTTGTTGTTGTTGTTGCTGTTCACAGCTATATGAACTATAAATTTGTCTAAAACATTATAAAAACATAATGAAAAAAAAAAGGTTGGTGTTACATCATAAAATATTTGATAATTTGCAAATATCCCTGTAAACCCGGTGGAACTGTTGTTGTTCAAACAGATACGTCACATAATTGATATTGCATTTCCAATGTTGCAACCGCCATCAGTCATTAAAACGCCGTTATTTTACTGTGGTCGTTAGCGCAGCCCAGGCTTCGTAATCGTCGTCCCCACTACCATCGAGGATTCTGCAGCAGTAATTAAAGATACCGGTAGTTATCACACATTAAAACTGACCAAAAACCAATTTTGCATTATTTCATACTTCTTTTTTTTTTTTTTTTTTAAATTTACAAAAAAGAAATAGATAAACTTTTATTTATTTATTTATTTATTTTGTTTTGAGTGCAGCTCATTCCTCTTTTGCACCAGTTATCTTTATCGTAGCAAAATTCAGGAGTAAAACAGAACAAAAAACCACTTAAAATTAGAAACATTTTCATAAAACTGTAAATGTCAAAATGTATCAGTTGAGTTTCAGCGAGGTTAGAGAAAAAAAATAAACTTTTCAAAGTTTATTTTTTCTTCTTCAAGAGATAAAATAAATAAGGAAAAAAAATGCAGTATGTAACTGTTCTTTGATGATAATCAATCGACCATCAAAGCAAAAAAAACTTTTATTTTTGAGAATTACTGCTATGACTGAAAAAAACTATTTTTTTCAGTTTCCTTTTTGCAATGGAGTCATAGAAACCATTTAAACATTGAAATTGATAACACTAAACTGCAACAGTTTAACTTGAAAACAGTAAGAAAAAGGAGAGAAAAAAAAGGAAAACAGCAACAATTTTGGATTGAAAATAATTTTTCAGACTATAAAGCGGGAAAAAAAAATATGCGGTTTTGGATCTCAGTTTTTCATGTTTCAATTTTTTTTGCAAATAACAACTTTAAAATGCGAAAAAAAAAACAGAAAAGACAACTTTCTGAAAGTCGTTCTTTTTTATTTATTTATCATTTCTCGCTCCTGTTACATTACTGCAGACGAGACAAAAAAAAGAATTTAGGTAAATTGCGGTTACTTAAGGTAACCTGAAAAAAAAAAAAGACGGAGACCAATTCTTTT